TGAAGTAACGCTAGTGATTCATTAGCCTATACATTGATAATTATAAGCTATATTCGATATACTATATATATATATATATATGCTATACTATACTATACACACTACTAAAAAAATAGTTGTTTACCGATGCAGCAGTACTGACGGACTTTTTCTGTCACTTATAGTAATTAGTAAGTGTATTAGTTGTAATTAGATTATAGATTGACATTACACTAAGTATAAGTCCTTTAGTAGTATCCTTAATTAATGCTAGGTTTGATTCGACCGTAAATTGATAATTATATTACGTAGAAGTGTATTGGTGACAATTAGCTTATATAAACTAACAATTGGTAGCTCACTTCAACTATGTATGTATTAGGTCCTTTGCCGTCTTATTTCTCTTCTTTGCTGTGGCTTGAAGCCTATCGATTTTTTTCTTAACATTGCATTCGTATAAGTGAAAAAAGATACAAAGAGCATCATATATGTTCCTACTTTGGAAATTGCACGTCTTTCAATTATTTCCTTATGCGCGGCTGCTCCAAAACAGAACAAAATGGGTGAGCATTATGCATGGAATAGCATGTCCATGTTAAACTTCTACCAGCAAAGAAACTTAGGTTATAATAATATGTGTTGTTTAGGCTGGCACTATGTAACACACTCCTCATTTGAATTGTTGCTTAACACAAACTGGTAGGTGAACGTTTTCGTCATTGTCTACTTACAGATTGCTCTTGGAGATGTTATATTTGTTTCCTACATCTAGAAGTGTTTTTGATATTTAAGGAGTCGGATTTCACAGTTAGTATTGTAATTCAGAATTAAATAATGTAAGCAAACCATCTTCATCCATAATTATTGAAGCTTAGATGCTTTTTTCAGATTACAACACAGGTTATTATAGAAGTTTAGCTTCTTTCCTTTTCTCGTTCCCAAGCCTTGAAAAGACCTTAATTTACGAAGTGTTGGTTTCATTACAGTACACTAAAAAGTATAAAATTTATTTTAATTAGGTTTAAGATATTGCTTTATCTATTATTAGATTTCTATTTAATGTATTTTTCATGTTTATAAGTGTTGATGTTCATGAAAAATCTCTCTTTCAATTTGAGAAGCCTTGGTTCCAAATTTGTTGAAGAATCATATTTTAATATTTTTTTTTTTAAATGAGCAAATTCATGTTGATAGGAATTTGTATTCAGCAGCACAAATGTCACGACCCAAACCCAGATCCGGTCGTGATGGTGCCTCTCGTGAAGACAAAACTAGCCAATTAAACCCAATTCACTTTTTAAATAGTTAAATAACATAAAAGCAGTCTGAAACATGATATAGCAATACTAAGTAGCGAATAATGCCAATAAAGTGCGGAAGTACAACCCAACACAGCCCTAACCGGGGTGTCACAAGTCACGAGTATCTACTAGGGTATAAATACAACTGAAAGTCTGAGTGCACAAATACAGACTAATGAATGAAGAGAGAGAGAGAGAAGCAGTGCTACGAACACCGGCAGCTACCTTGATAAACTCCGATGACTCTATCTCCGATCAGCCAAAACCCGCTACCGGGTGTGTAAATACCTGAATCTGCACACAAGGTGTAGGGAGTAAAGTGAGTACTCCAATTCAGTGAGTAATAATTATAAGTGAAGTCTGAATGGTAAGAAATCACGTAAAGCATATCAAGATGTTGTATAGAAGCAGTTCAAAACCAGTAAGAAAGCAGTGAACTGTAAAAATCTCTTAAACATCTTAGCTTAGTTTAAACTTCTTTGAAAATGAATTTTTCAACAGTTACGCAAATGAATGCAAAACAGGTAGTGCAGATAAGCACAGAAATCCTCCCCTCTGGCACAAATACCATAGTTTAGTAGGTAAATGACAGGTAAATATGAAAGATAAACACATAAAGGTTCGCCCCTCAGGCACAATATCAACAACTTCGCCCCTCGGGCAATGTCTCAGAACAATACCAGCCCCTCGGGCAATCACATGAACGGTACCAGCGGGTAATCACATAGAACAATACCAGCTCCTCGGGCTATCACATAGAACAATATCAGCCCCTCGGGCTATATCTCACATCACAATGGGTACCCGTGCTCACTAGGGGTGTACAAACTCCGGGAGGGGCCCCTTACGGCCCAAGCGCAATATCAAGCCACCTCGTGGCATCACAAACCGGCTCTCGGCCTCATATCAATATCAACAAGCCACCTCGTGGTGTACATATCTCAGGCCCTCGGCCTCATAATCAAATCAGTATCTCACTACTGCGTCGTGCAGCTCGACCCAAAAGTATCCTCACAATACAGGCCCTTGGCCTTACTCAGTCAAAAATCACCTAAGCCATTCGGGTAACAGTAAAACATGATGCTCAACCCAAAATATTATTTGAAATATCATTTCAAGTGTTAAAGAAAAATAAACTTGGCTGAGTATTGAAAATAGTGGAAAATAACATGACTGAGTTCAAGTATAAAGTCAAAACAGTGAGGAAATATCAACAAAAAAGCCCCGTAGGGTTCAAATAGCTGGCACTAGTCCCAAATATGACATTCAGCCCAAATAATGATGGTAGCAAATAGTTTTCAATCAAATACACGGTAAAATCATAAATCGGGACGGACCAAGTGACAATCCCCAATAGTGCATGACCCCACACTCGTCATCAAGCATGTGCCTCACCTCAATATAGCACCACGATGTGCAATCCGGGGTTTCAAACCCTCAGACCATCATTTACAATCATTACTCAGTTCGAACCAGCTAAATCTCTAGCTCGCGACTCCTTTGCACCTCGAATCGGCCTCCACGCGCGTCGATCTATACAAAATCAGAACGTGGACGTCAAAATATGCTAAGGGAACAAAGCCCAAGTGAAAACAATCAAATATGACACAATTCCCGAAATTACCAAAATCTGAGCCCCGAGCCCACGTCTTAGAATCAGGTAGAATTTATATTTTCAAAATTCTCATACCCTCACGAGTCTAACCATACCAAAATTATCCAATTTCGGTACCATTTGGTCCTTCAAATCATCATTTTATATTTTTGAAAGATTCCACAAATTTTCTTCGCAAATTACATCCCAAATCACGAATTAAATGATAGATTCATGAACTCTAGCCAAATCTGAGTTACAATCACTTACCCCAATGAATTTCTTGAAAAACCTTCGAAAAATCGCCAAAATCCGAGCTCTCTAGGTCAAAATATTAAATAAAACCCAAAACCTCGTATTTATAGAGTACCCCACATATTTCCACCTCTGCGGACCGCACAAAAACGACCGCGGTCCACACAAAAATGATTGTGGCCGCATATATTTTCATCTGCAGTGACAGGCTTTAGTATTTTGGCCATAACTTTCGCTACAGATGCCCATATTGCAATATCATTATTTTTCTGGAAACTAGACACGAAGGGCTACAACGTTTGTTTTAAATCATCTCAAAATTCCTTGTAGATCAAAAGATATGAGCTTCCGAAGTAGGACCAGTGAAATGTTCCCCCATCGCGGCCGCACTGCATTTTGTGCGGTCCGCACAACACCTACCGCGGACGAACTTCTTTTTGTGCAGACCGCGCTGGTAGGTTCTGAGGCCTGCAACCCTTTTGGACCTGCTACAACTATGATTTTCGGCCTAAAATATCCCGGAACCTACCCGGAAACCCCGGAACTTCAAACCAATTGTACCAACACATCCCATGACATCGTTCAAACTTTTTCAAAACTTCGAAACGCTCATAACAACATCAAATTACCTATTTAACATAGGATTTAAGCCTAAAAACACCACGAACTCTTAAATTATGCTTTCGATCAAAAAGTCTATCAAATCTCGTCCGAACGACTTGAAATTTTGCACACACATCCCAAATGACACAACAAAGCTATTTCAACTCTCGGAATTTCATTCCGACCCCTATATCAAAATCTCGCCTATCAACGGGAAAACGCCAAAAATTCAATTTCTCCAATTCAAGCCTAAACCTTTCACGAACCTCCAAAATGCATTCTAATCACGCTCGTAAGTCCCAAATCACCTAACAGAGCTAACCCAACCATAAAAAGTTCGATCCGAGATCATATACAAATAAGTCAAATCTTAGTCAAACCTTTCGAATTTCAAGCTTCAACTAAGAACTGTTTTCTTCCGAATTTATTCTGATTACCCTGAAAACCAAAACCAACGATTTATATAAGTCATAATACATCACACGGGGCAAGTCATGCCCGAAAACTGGCGATCAATGTGCAAAAGCTCAAAACGACCGGTTAGGTCGTTACAACAAAAATCGAAAATCTTGAAGAAAATTATGAAGACCACAATTTTAGAAGGGGAAAGAACATAGTAATGGTTAACATACAACACAAACTAATTAGAGAATATTGGAACTAGAACACAAACTTGGAGTTGTATGGCCAAACATTATATAGACTAACCAGCTCTAGGCTATCAAAAACCAAAGTTTTTTTCAGTGAAGCTCAAGTGGACTCCATATAATCCCAGCTTCATGTTGTATTTTTTATTCTATGTTTCTCTCAAGGATCTAGTTACTTAAAATTCCTATCTCTTAAATTGCACTCTGCTTTTACAATAAAATGCGAGTATAGCTACAGTTTTCATTAACACGTTTATTATATTTGTAGGAAAAAAATTGGGGAGGAAGATGAGTCATGATGAGTTCTTCATGGGACTCACATCCGGAAGAAAAAGGCACCGGCAGATCCAACTAGATGGGTCGAGGATCGAGCAGAGACTACACATGTACGTTTCATAACTACTATAAATATTTCTAATATTATATAGTTAGTATTTTTTTATCTTCTAAATAAAAAGTCGCTACAAGATCAATTTGGAGGGGTATACTCAGAGATTGCTACTGAATGAGCAAGGCGAGCGACCGCCCATTTCAGACGAAGAAGAGAAGGGGATATGGTTGAGTATTGTCAGTGGTCCTAAAAAGGGGATAACATACGGCCTTTTAGATAAATCGTTTCGGTGCTACATGGCTGGATTGCAAGGTATAGGGACTTCCGCCCAAGGAGAGGCGATTGATAGTTCAGCTATATCGTCTATGGAAAAGAAGATCGCAAAACTGACAGTAGAGCTTGAAGAGACCAAGGCTAGAGAAAAGAAGAATTTTGATACCCTTCAAGGTGAGCTAGAAAGGAGGGACAAACAATTTGATCTCCTTCAAGGTCAGCTGGCCAATCTTCTTGCTTGTGGTGCTTTCCCTATTCCCCGGTCTCCTCATCCTTCCCCACCTGTCGGTGATGAAGGTCCTAGGACCGAAAATGAAGATGATGCTACATAAAAAAACACATTGCATGTTGTGTATTGTTAAACAAAGTTGTGAACTTATCAATATTTTGTTGTTGGTTATTTGAATGATGATTATATTGTTATTAAACACTTTAGTAGTTGTTGTTGTGGTTATTAGTTGTTGTGGTTGTGGTTATTAGTTATTGGTTAATTGTTGTTGTTGGTGGTTATTAGTTGTTATTTTGTTGAGTTTTCATGGTTGAATGGCAGTAATGTAAGCTGCCATTATAGGATGTATATTGGTTTAAATTGGCAGGTAGTGTAGCTTAAAAGCATCCATTTTCTGCCCAGTTTTTACCCAGATTTGCGACCGAATTAGGTCGGAAATAAAAAAAATTCCCAAAAATTCATAATTTCCTACCTAATTCGGTCGGAAATTTAAAATAAATTCCCTAGATTATTGAAATTTCCAATCGAATTCGTTCGGAAATTATAAATTTATATTTATTTTTTAAATAAATTAACAATTTACAAATAATTATTTAATTAAATAATATTATTATTTTTTAAAGGTTTCGACCAAATTCGGTCCGAAAACTAAAATTAAAAATAAATAAATAATAATATTTTCCGACCGATTTCGGTAAGAAATTTGAATTTTAAAAAAAATATTAATAATTTCCGACCGATTTCGGTCGGAAAATAAAGTTTGACTGCCAGTCAGTGCATTGGATTTTATCGATCGATTGCAATCGAAAATTTTCGACCAATTGCGGTTCGGTCTACGTTTGCGACCATTGTTTTTCTACCCAAATAAAAACGGTCGGAAATCACCTGACTTTTAGTTGTGACAATATCAAACAAACTCTCACAAGAAAAAAAATAACCTGCATTATTGAAATTTTTTGTAGGTGTAGAACGAATGTCATTAGCACAACATAAAACAATTCTCTCATCAATTCAATAATATAATTCTGCCCAGTCTTTGATTACTAAAGTTGGCGTGGCTTTTAGTAACTAAATAACCAAGATTAAGATGTATCATGAAAGAATTTTTTTAGTGTTATCTGATAGGTGCCCTATTTCAATCTTTATGTCAAAACTATTTTCATGTACTACAAATTATCTCTCCCTTATAACAAAAGGAATCATTAATTACATAGACAAAAGATAATAAACTTTAAATAGAAGCTAATTCATCTGACAAGTTATACGATTTCCTAGCATTTTTTGAGTCAAATAAAGAAAATGAACTAATACATTATATTTTCAAGCTTCAATTTGACAGGTCTTAGGTGCTTCTTGAATTCAAGTAAAAGCTAGTGGAAATTATTTCAAGCTTTATATTCATATTATTCTTTATATTAAACATGTGACCTTTTACCTATAACAATTTCATCGAAGCTGTCTGCATCCATGTAATTCATTAAATTTTACGAAGGTAAACTGAAATCTCTAGAGCTCTTGCTCAATTCTTGAATCAATAAAAAAAATTTAAGAGAAAATGATTTGTTTATGTGGATATATCTTTGACAGATATTATAAAATGATTATTCCTTTTGTGCATTAAATATACGTATATAAGTATATTTATTTCTATTATAAGAGACTCAAATTTAATACTTTGCAATTATATTCTTACTTAAAGAATGTAAAAAAAATATATACACAGAGATATGAAGCAGTAATTGCACCAACCAAAGGTCACTCTTTTATTGAATTCAGATAAAATCGCAAACCTGGAAAGAGAATATCCCCAAAGCCAATCATGACATAGCCATAATAAGGATTAGAAGATTAGATATATAGTCGAGAACTCTTAGAAGCTACAAAAATTTTAAAAAAAGAACTGAGTCATATTTCACCCCATACAGTTTAAAGGAAAAGATATATAGTAAAACTATTTAAGAAATAAAAGTTTATCGCAAAGAACAATCAGAAGGGAACATAAACAAAATCCTAGAATATTGGATACAGTGATACAAGGAATACCAACCAAAAAAATCTCAAAAATAAGGAAGAGATAATCAAATCACAAAATCAAAGAGAGGCGATTTACCTCTAGCAGTAGTCGAAATAAGAGAAACAGAAACTGAAGGGAAAAATTAAAATACTGAAGAGCAAAGGAAGAATTTTACCTTGGGCGAGGGGAGGAAGAAAAGGAGAAGAAGAAGACCCTATAAGGGAAGAGAAGATTTGCGATAAGGATTAAGAGAGGAGCTGTTTAAGAGCATTAAAAGAAGCGACCGTTTCTTTTATAGGGAAAATAAGCGACTGTTGAGTTTTCTTTATTGGAAAACTTTTTTTCCATCAGTTTTAAAAGGAAAAATGTCAAAAAAATAACAATAAAGACAAATGTCAATGCTGGGCTTAGAGAAGTGGCACATAAGTCTCTCTTAGACCCAGCTTTATATATATATATATGAGCCCATTAAGTGCTAAACTACCTCACTTTCAAAAAGCAATTGAGTTCCACGAAAAATAATCGAGCAATTATCACTTATAGCCATGCTGAAAAAATTAATGACAATCGATAGCCACAAAATAAGTCATATAATTAACAGCCCAAAATCAATTATAAGGGCTCGCCCAAAACCATTGTCACTCTTCCCCCTTCAAATTTTAATCTTTTTAACTCTTAACCACTAGATGCACCCCAGTTAAACAAAATCAACTACATTCCCTATTTCAACTAATTTTTAGATAATTTTTAGATAAAAGATAATTGGATTGATACTGATTTGCCTGAAACAAATTTCATAGCAATATGAAGCATTTGAATGGATTTGCTTATATAAATTAGCTTATATAAATTGATAATTACAATAAGCATAAGTGGATTTGCCGATGATTTATTCTAAATTCGTAATCACATTACCTAAATGTATAGTGTATATATATACACACATCTTAATATAGCTAATGTTATATCGAATATAACTTATATATATACACATCTTAATATAGCTAATGTTATATCGAATAT